AAAGAAATAAAGATTTATCGTTGAAAGTCAGTGCAAATATTAAAAAAAGTCGTGCGAACATCACAACTGACGATATAAATGATTATATGGACCGTCTTGAACAAACCATAGCTGGTATTCCGCCCTCACGTATATATAACTATGACGAAACAAACCTCACAGACGATCCGGGAACAAAAAAAGTGATAAGTAAAAGAGGCTCTAAATACGTGGAGCGAATTTGCAATTCAAGCAAAAGTGCGATTTCACTTATGTTTTGTGGAAATGCTGAGGGGCATGTTTTACCGGTTTACGTTGTCTATAAAGCAGAATCGTTATGGACCACATGGACTGAGGGGGGTCCTCCCAACACAAGATATAATCGCAGTAAAAGTGGTTGGTTTGATTCCCATATTTTTGAAAATTGGTTTGTGACAACTTTTTTGAAAGAAGTACAGGGCGGAGGACCTAGTGCCTTAATTGGCGATAATTTAGCGTCACACATAAACGAACATGTGTTAGAATTATGTGATACTCATGACATTAAGTTTATATGTTTGCCACCAAACACCACGCATATATCTCAGCCACTCGACGTAGCCTTTTTTAGGCCAATGAAGGGGGCTTGGAGAGACATTTTGAGGCAGTGGAAAAACACGAAAACTGGTAGTTGTTATACAACTCTCCCGAAAGATTTATTCCCCCGACTACTGACACAGTTAATGGACAAAATTGAGTTCAAGAAAGCAGAAAATTTAAAAGCTGGTTTCAAAAAAACTGGTATACACCCAGTGAACAGAGAAAAACTAATAGAACGCTTGGCTGAACATAAAAGTGATATGCTCGATAATGATTTAATTGGTAAAGCATTTCTGGATCAAATTCAAAATGAACGGCAAGATTTTATTGGATTAGCTGGTAAACCAAGGAAAAAGAAGTTGCAAGTGTCGCCGGGCGATAGTATATCAATTGAAGATCTAAGAAAATCACGCGATAACCCGGGACCTTCAACTTCAAAACCTACACGAAACCAGAAAAAAAGTCAAGTTCTGTCATCTTCATCAAGTGAGTCAGATGATATGGATTTTGATTTGGCAAGTGACAGCGATAATCTTGACGACGGCAGTGACAGCGAAGATGTAGATAACTTAGTTGAACCCGACGATGTTAACGAAAATGTTAGTGAAGATGTAAACAACCTCGAAGAACCGGAACAAAATTATAATGTTGGTGATTTTGTTCTGGTCAAATTTCTAGAAAAACAGTTTCCCGGTCGTATCACAAAAATGTCCAATGAAGGCCCAACTGTGGACTGTATGGAGAAGCTTTCAAAGCAGTGGAGGTGGCCCGCGAAGAAAGACTGC